ATACTGGCCAATATCATACACAAGATAGTATGATGTACATTAGGCTAGATGGACCAATGATCTATTCCAAGACGATCACTACTGTGTATTTATGTAAAAACGTCTTTTAACGACAGAAGGGCAGGGCCGGATTAACGCATAAGCAAACTAGGCAGGTGCCTTGAGTCCAAATTCATGAGGGAGGCTGAAAATGGTGCACTGGTGGTGTGCTTTTTTCATTTTTGGGGGGTTGTTTTTACTGATGCCAACTGAAAGAACTTCACTCAAATGAGTGAGTGGCATTGCGACCTGGTGCACGGGGTCACAACGCCACTCAAATTTGGGCAGCCGAGCCAAATTTAAGTGGCATTGTGCCAGGCTGCCATGCCACTCACTGAAGCAAGTGAAGTTCTTTCAGTTGGCACACAAATCCGCCCCAGTGGAAGAGCGGGCAGAGATAGTCCTCACAGAACTGAGACTCATGTAGCCATTCCCAGTAGAGCTAAGGAGAACACTGGATAAAGAAACCACTTCCTTCTCCAAGGATGTGAACTGGCTGGGATGGGCATTAACTGCAGTGGCATATAACGGAGGGAACATCCCTGAAATGTATTATTATTCAAATTAGAAGCTAGGGGCCCAGAAATGTATGTTTGCCTAAGGCCCAGTGATGGGTTAATCCAGCCCTGCAGAAGAGCAAATGGCCTCTGAAAAGCTAATTACAATTTTTTTTCTTAATTCTGCAATTTAACAACCAAATCAAATCTTTTGAAATTACTGGGGGGGGGGGGGGGAGAGCGAAGAAGCAAAAATGATGCATGCTTCTGCTGAGACCTTGTTCTTTAAATTTAAAGCCAAATTACAAAAGTGAGTGGTGGTACACGGTGGGATAATGTGCCCTATGGGGCGGGAGTGGGGGATTTCTGAAGCACACCAACAGGCTGCACGTTAATTGGTCTGTGTATATGCTGCTGGTGTGCACTAAAGCTTGCCTAGTGCGCTTCAACGTAGTGCTTGTCAGGAGCACAACCGGCTGCCAGCCTCATCGCTAGGCAACCCAGCAAGCTCAGCTGGGCCCAACAACCCGTCTCCAAATGGTTGTGCTTCGTGACCTGCTTCAGTTGAGTCCTTGCCTCCCTGCCCCGATTCTGACTCAGACTCTGACCTTTGGCTTGGCTCCTCAACCCTGACTCGTTTCACTCTCAGATCGGTACTGGACTCCCGGATCTACGCTTGCCATTGAGCTGAACTGCAGCCACGACTGCCAGGCAAGGTCCTGCTCTACCTACTAGGTAGGCCACCCAGACCGTGGCAGCTTCCTGTTTGAAACCATACTATGTTAAAAGTGCACTAGGAACCTTTAGAGCACACCAGCCAGGTGTACACGGACCAATTAAGGTACAATGCATGAGTGCGCTTTAGAAATCACACCCCTATGGAGCAGGTTGCCCCACCATGTAGACAAGCCCTAAGAGAATGAGAACATAGCACTAAAAGCATGGTGAAGGGATCTGCTCGGGCTCAGGGTTGTCAGGTGCAGGGGATGTCTGCTCAGTGACTGAGCTGCTTTCATAGATTCACAGAACTTAAGGCCTAACGGCACCATGATGATCACCTGGACTCATCAGCAGCATAACACAGGCCAGGGAACATCACACAGCGACTCCTGTTTCAGGAACGGCCATGAACACCATCATTTAAACATAACTGTGATTGATCACATAAGAATTAGAAAACAAAACCAGACGCAATGTAGACAGATCCAAATATATCCATATCAAGATCAGCTAAATGTAATAACTTCATTTAATATACTTTCAATGCGCATAACGGTGGCCACTGAAAAAGTCAACAATTCTTGCATACTGGTGCCTGAGACATAGCAACTACTTCCTACTCTGAACAGCAGGGGAAACTGTGGAATCGCCACTATCACTGCATAGGAATTGAACACAGATGCTGCTATTTGAAATGGTGAGCCTTGTATTGAAGTAGAAGAACATTACCGTAGTTTATTCTTCCTCTGCAATGACTCCTGATCCACCACACACAAACAACACAAGGACAACTTAATTACTCGTGTAACTTCCCTGATATGCACGGGTTACATTGGGGTGAATTTCACAAATAAAGACAAATCTTAGGGTTAAACCACCACACCTTTTGTGAAGAGAGGGATAGGGAGCTTATATAAACTGCCAAGGGGGGAAAAAAATCACTAATTGATCAAGTTTATCTATAGAAAAGGTAGATCGCAATCTCTAGATAAACAAAAATCTTTGGGGCAGCCAAGCCACCGAGAAACTTCATCATATTGTTTAGGATGTACCCCTTTCAGTACAAGGATGAAAAATTTACTCAGACCGATCAAATCAGTTCTGCCTTAGAAATGATACTTCCTCAAACCATGGCAGTCTCAAAATGCATACTGCACCACTGTGTTATAACTCAATCAGATAATCCTAATCAAGGCAGATGATGAACAGATGGGCAGAGAAGTGACTCACACCCTTTCAGCTCCACATCCTACCACTTGAGCGGCATTTCCCAAAGTAGGGAGCATAAATGGACGCCAGGCTGATGGGCAGACAGATACCTCAGTTGTTCTCTAACATCTTAGCTTTCATTAGATCTCATTTCAAAGAAAACCTACAAAATTCAATGCTGAGGTATCCACCTGAGTTTGCAGAGAGCCTGAAACTGCAGCTCCCAGAGATCCAAACTGTCTCATTCATTTCACTAGGCGTTCACTTGGATGCCCAGTGATGGCATTTTAAATGTCAACATTGTTAATGATTTCAGTGTTCACCATGGCACGTAACAGAGGAGAAGATGCATCATATTACAAAGATCTGCACAACCATTTCCCAAAGTCTGGGATACACTGCAGGGCGAGGAAGGAAGAGCTAGCCAGTGGGGCATGGAAGATAAATAGATTAAGATGATTATGCGGAGGGGGCAGGACTGGTTTTATTTTCTTGAATATGTGCTCAACTTCTACCAGGTTGGGAAATGCTGCACTGGAAAGAATAGGAAACAAATGTGGTATTTACCACCCTATCTTCCACTACCCCTACAAGAATCCCATTGGGCCAGAGAGAGAGAAACTACGCAGCTATTGCAAGAACAGAAAAGACATCATCATATTTCCTCAGCCAGACTGTATGTGGAAAGATAATTCCTGAACATGGATCCTCATTAATGCAGTCTTTAAACAAGGAAAGAGATTTGAACACAGTAAGCATTTGTTAAGCAGTAGCATGTGTCTTCCATCAGCTTTATTTTTGCGCAGAGATCACCATGTACTGTGCCGGAGCCACATCCGGACTCAGGTACTCAGCTTAAATACTTCCTTAGTGGAAGGCTGTTTTCCACTGGGCTTGGAGAGAATAAGCACATTGTAAAGAATTCCCACTGGAAAGTCTGGAGATATGGCACAGATCTTGTTAATATTTGAACGAAGAATGTATATATTTTTCAATTATGTTTACTTCCTTTATCCCCTATGATTATTCTCCACACCACACATACGGAAGAATCTGTGTTCTGAGACGTGATTTTCACAACAGTCTCAGACCTCCTACTGAAGAATGTTTAAAGTTATCTTCCCCCAAGCCAACCCTCCCCAGCTATTTCTCTCTGTTAGCACGAACTACGGTGTTGTCCCCAACTTCCAGAGACTGAGCTCAGTCTGAGACCTGCTGGAACGGATGACAAAACCAGAATTCACTTGGAATAAAGAAACTGGGGCAAAGGCAGCTGGACTTTGAAGCAAATCTGTAAACAAATCACATGATAATCATGAAAAGAAAAGGAGTACTTGTGGCACCTTAGAGACTAACCAATTTATTTGAGCATGAGCTTTCGTGAGCTACAGCTCACTTCATCGGATGCATACCGTGGAAACTGCAGCAGACTTTATATACACACAGAGAATATGAAACAATACCTCCTCCCACCCCACTGTCCTGCTGGTAATAGCTTATCTAAAGTGATCATCAAGTTGGGCCATTTCCAGCACAAATCCAGGTTTTCTCACCCTCCGCCCCCCCCCACACAAATTCACTCTCCTGCTGGTGATAGCCCATCCAAAGTGACAACTCTTTACACTATTACCAGCATGATGATCACTTTAGATAAGCTTTACCAGCAGGACAGTGGGGTGGGAGGAGGTATTGTTTCATATTCTCTGTGTGTATATAAAGTCTGCTGCAGTTTCCACGGTATGCATCCGATGAAGTGAGCTGTAGCTCACAAAAGCTCATGCTCAAATAAATTGGTTAGTCTCTAAGGTGCCACAAGTCCTCCTTTTCTTTTTGCGAATACAGACTAACACGGCTGTTACTCTGAAACCTATGATAATCGTGGATAGTATATTGAGTTAGGCCTCCAAAAGCAGGTAGTGCGGCGATAAAAGAAAAACTGGAGGGCCGGAGATGCCTTACGGAATATGTAAGGTGTGGGGTGTAGTGGCACCTGCCATTGGAAAACCAGGGCTGGGACACAATTAAATGTAGTTGGAAGTTAGAGGTGGGAAAGACAATCTCTAATTTGGCTTTGCTTCAGTAAGGTCCTTCTTTTCTCTCTCTCTCTGTCATACCCTTCCCCTACAGGCCAGGAAAGGAGGAAGACACACATCGTTACGGATGTTTCTGTTTTTTGATACTTGGGAGGCAATAGAATACTCCAGTGATGGCAGGGGTCCCATAAATAGATTGAGATTAGACAGAGAAAAAAGGCAGAAAAAATACCCACTTTGCCAAAGCCTGGCATCAGGAATGTAACTGCCATTTAGATCTGAATGTTATGTAGGCAATTAAGGGCAGATATAGGACACTTGGTATGCATTATCTGTCAGCTGTTAAGTCCAGGCATGATCCATGTTTGTATGATGGCCACATTCATAACAATAACAGAAGCATGAGAACAAACCCAAGCGTCAAAGGCATCGTCCAGAGAGCTGATCATCTCAATACGTAGCTGGCATTTAAAACATACTCCTCCTAATTGCACTGACTTACCCACTGTGTCACAGGGTTCGTCTTTGTGTACGCAGAAATCTGTCCTAAAAAGAAAACAAAAACACAAATCAGATGTATGCTGTGCCTCAAGAACAGATTAGAGAAAACCAGAGGTCCATGAGCCAAAGTTCTGAAACATTCCCAGCTATCAGGAAAGTCAAGGTCCTTTAACTGCTGTGTATTATACATGATGACAGCACCGACTTATTTTCAAGATGACAAGAGTTATTTTGATAGTTCCACTACAGTACTCACTACATCCAAAGCCAAACCTAGGCTTCTTAAGATCGAACATGCAAGAGAGAACTGCCACATTAGGAAGTAGGAAACCACATGTTTCTATGACAAAGTTTGTCAATAGCCTAGACTAAAATTGGGCCACTCACGTTCACACAGTACTGCTCAAAAGAAGTCGTCGTCATGCAATCCTGCAGCATAATCTAAATCTAAGCGAGGAGAAATCAGCGGACGTTGTACATGGTTATATAGGACTGAGCCCTAGAAAAACAAAGTTGTGTCGGAATCAGGGGTTCTCAATCTTTTTCTTACTGAGACCTCCCCGACATGCTATAGAAACTCCAGAGCCCACCTGTGCCACAACAACTGGTTTCCGCATATAAAAGCCAGGGCCAGCGTTAGTGGGTAGCAAGCAGGGCAACTGCCTGGGGCTTTTGCTTTCTGCCCTGGGCCCCAGCGAGTCTAACACTGGCCCAGCTTGAGGGACCCCCTAAAAACTGCTCACATCCCCCCCATCCCAGGGGGTCCCAGACCCCTGGTGGGAATCACAGTAAAAACTGCTCTCTTTCAAATTCTCCCCCTTTTAATCTATTTCATTCTGTATATATATTATATTATATTTTTTTTTTTTTTTTTTGCTCCACAGACACAGAAAAGAAGAAAAGGGAAAGAGCCAGAAATAAAACAAAAGGAGGAAGCAGAAGGGGGAAAAGTAAACAAAATATTCAGGTTAGAGGTAGACAAACCTACTCAAATAAAATACGAGCCAGCCTGAATTTTCATCCAAGACTTGAAGCAACCAACAGCCTTTAACCAGGTTCAAAAGAGTTCGATCAACCGGTTTTCCCACCTTTTTCACATCCCACTGTACTTCCTGGGTTTGACCAGGACAGGAAGCAGATCATCATCATCACTGTCTGTGACACAGTAAGATCCAGAAGCCCAAGTCAGACTAAGACCTGACTGTCCTAGATGATGTACAAACACAGAACAAAGAGATGGCCACTGCCCTCAGGAGCTTTTAATTTAAATAATATCAAAATATCACAAGAATGCTCCATCACGAATGCTCCAAGTGGAATGCTCCAGGTTACAACACAAATATTTTTTAAAAAATTAAAATAAAGTTTGCATACATTCAAATAAGGATCAGAGCATCTCCACTGTCCTTGCCTCACCCTTGGGAACCCGCTCTGGCAAAGAGTACTAGCTTCTCCCAGCAGCTCTGCTTTACAGATGAGGAGCCAAGGAAATCTATTAAAGCTGCTAAGAGACACCAAAGGGTTCAATCTAGCGAAGCAACAGCCTTGTCATTACTCCAACTGCCTTTTCAATCCAGGCTGAGGGGGCGCAAAAGTTATGCACATACATTGTGAGTGTGTGATTATAAGTGCCCAGCCCACAGGTGGGATTTTGTGTTTGGGGGGAGGAGGAAGGGTAAAGAGAATGTCCTGCTGGAATAAAAATGTAAGAATGGGATTTTTCAGAAGAAAATAATGGAGTGAGATCCCGAACACCCATTTCAATGAGACTTGGGCCCTTCACTCTCCTTCGATCAAGTTGTTAAAGAAAACAAATCCCAGCTCAAGTTAGTTTAAAAAAAAATTTAAAAGCAATTGAAAATAATCAATATTAACTGTCAACCTTCATATTAAAAAACCTACCCTGAATATTTCCAAGCTTACATTTCATGGCAAAAGAGCCATGATTACAGCCATCAATGGGTTAAAAACCAGGCAGAAACAAAAGAAGAAGCAGCCCCCACCATGCCCTGGCCAGGGCTTTCATTTTTCAGAGCAGTACCGCTGCGTCCGACACCTTGACATTTGCTCTTCACTGAGCTGGCATAAGAACAGTTCCTGAGTTCCCAGAGCCAGCTCGACAGAGGTTTATTTAAGGACTTATTATGTTCTATAAACTGGTAAATCAAACAGATGCTTTTATTGTCACAACAAATAGCTGAACTACTAGTAGATGGCAGAGGGCCATCACTAGAAATGAATCTCTCCAGACTGGCTATCTTAGCAAATAATGCATCACAAGTCTTGCCACTCGCGCTTTGTGGTTCTACCGGGAAAGGTGTCTGGTGGTTTCAGTCAAGTAGGAGAAATTACCACCAGGACATAAAACTAATGGTCTTGTAAATAATTCACCACAATTTGCAGACTATGACCAATCTCTATAATCCCTCACTTCTAAGGGGGCTGGTCTCTTTTGGTCATAGTGGTGCTCTTAAGTGAAGCAATAAAAGGAAACCTAACATTTCATCTGCCCCACAGTACTCTGCAGCTGGGTCTGTGAGTAAAATACCTTCAATGGCCCCCAAAACACAAAGCCAAGAAACCCATCCTTCTGCTCTGAGACCTTGCATCCAACCGTTCTGCATACTGACCACTTGTATAAGAATACAAGAACATAAGAACGGCCATATTGGGTCAGACCAATGGTCCATCTACCCAGTATCCGGTCTTCCAACCGTGGCCAGTGCCAGATAAGTCAGAGGGAATGAAAAGAACAGGGCAATTTTGAGCGATCCATCCCCTGTCGTCCTGTCCCAGCACAAGGCAGTCAGAAGCTTAGGGACATCCAGAGCATGGGGTTGCTTCCCTGACCATCTTTGCTAATAGCCAAGGCTACAATTTTATCATGGATATTTTTAGTACAACTCAGGGACAGGTCGCAGGCAAGAAACAGAAAGTCACAGAAGCCAGGACCTGTCCCTGACTTTTACTAAAAACATCCCTGACATACTGGGGAGGAAGGAGGGTCCTGGCTCTCCCCCCACCCGCTCTGCAGCGGCTGGCAGCTGCAGGGACCCCATTGCCCCGTGGCTGGAAGGGGTCCCCCGCCACCCTGCAGGGCTTGTAATGACAGAGGAGTCCCCCATCGCCCACTTGCCCCCGGCCGCTGAGCAGTTCCAGGGTCCCTCTGCTGCCGCCAGCGGCTGGGAGCTGTGAGGACCCCCCACCCGCAGCCGCTGAGCAGCTCTCGGGTCCCTCTACCATTGCCGCTGGCTGGGAGCTGCGGGGGGCCCCCCGACTGCTTGTGGCAGCTGAGCTGCTGCAGGGGGACCCCTGCCAGCAGCGGCAGCTCAGGACTCGCCGGTGGCACCGGCAGCCAGTTAGTTGTGGGGCTCCCGCCACTCACAGCTATCCCCCGCTGCCCATGGAGACTGGGCTGCTGCGGGGCCCCCAATGTCACGTGACTTCCGCAACCTCCGTGACATAATCTTAGCCTTACTAATGGCTATTTATGGCCCTATCCTCCAGGAACGTATCTAATTCTTTTTGGAACTCGGTTATACTTTGGGCCTTCACAGCATCCCCTGGCAACGAGTTCCACAGGTTGACAGTACTTCCTTTTATTTGTTTTAAACCTGCTGCCTATTCATTTCATCGGGTGACCCCTGGTTCTTGTGTAAGGCCGCCTTTGTTTGTAAGTGGCCACCCACCATTCTATCGGAGGGATTTTCCTCTCTACGGGAGCACTTCCTAGTAAGTACAAATGGGGAAAACACTTATTTTCTGCTTCATCGGGCAAAGGTAAATTCCCAGAACCAAAATGTTCATGGCTCCTTTTCGTGAACACGGGCAGCAAGCTGGAACCAGAGTTCTCTTTGGAGGCTGACCCTAAAGATTCTGAGTTCTCAAGCAACTGCAGCTGCTGAAAATCCAGCTTCTGCTTTTTCTGGCTCAGGTATTTCTGCTGGACATGCTGTTGCTTCCATATCCTCCATGGCTGGTCCATCTGTACAGTCTGGTGAGGATCCAGGGACACACACACATGCTTCTAAAGCCAAGAAAAGAACACCTAGTTTCCTTGCTATACAAATAAGAACTGCTGGACCAGAGGCCTTCCAAACAACACAGCATCCTTTATGTTGCACGAACAGGAATGGGTTAGAACTGCGGGAATGGGAAAACACTGCAATCACATGCTGCTGGCCTACTGTGCTGGATAGATGTGGTTCTTTTGAAGAAAACCAGTGGTCCTTTGCCCAATTTTCCTCCTCACAAAATCAGCTGCTCTTCAAGTTTATTATCCAAACTAGTGGCAGTTGTAGCTTTCCGGCTATTATTACAAAACCTTCCAAATCCATTTAGCCCAGAGAGGATCCCTACAGTTTTCTTCAAGTGACTGACTCCAACTCGTTTAGCATGACACCAAGCATTTAATTTCATAAGCTGCAGAGGGCATAGATGAAATGCTCCGCTTCTCCCCGCCAGTGCCTAAAACCCCATCAGAGTGATTTGCATGCCTCACCGTGTCACACAGGATCAAAAGATTCGTGCTGGAAATTAGCACAACTGGATGCACAGATGAGAGTTAAAAAAATATCGTATGTATTTATTTAGGCCCTGATCCAATCAAGCACATGTTTAACTATAAGCAGGATGTGTATTACTCCCATTGACTTCAAAGAGACGACTCACCCTGCTTAAAAAGTTAAGCATTTACTTAGGTGCTTTACTGGATCAAGGCCTGAGTGACTGCACTGAATACAGAGCAGATGGGGGATCCTGCACCAACTCCAGAGGAAACTGCACAATCATACACAAAGGTGCATTTTGGGGAACTTTACTAGCCCAGTGCACTGGCACAGAAATCACTGACTGGATATTCTGTAGCCCACTTTTATTTAACAATCATTAGCATCCCATGATCACCATCATCAACATGTCTATAGAAACAAGAGAAAATGCTTTAGGGAGGGACTAAGTTTTCACCCTGTCAGCAATTCGTGTTTTTTATACTATAGAATCCTGTTCATTTAGACACCCGGGGTGGCTATTCTCTCACACTGACAGCAGCCCTATGCAATGAATGCTGTGCAGTCTAGTTCAAAATACTCATTCTCAACTGTGTTCAAACTGTGTAAGCAAATTTAAGGGGGAGGAAAATGGTTTTTAAATGGCCCTTGTTAATAAATTCCTGGAAGCGCAGACAGAGAAGAGGAGGAGAAACCATTTATATAAATGTCTGGGAAACACGTGAAATAAAATTCTGTGCTGAATAAGACAACAACAACGATGCTCCCTGAGTTTAATCTTGAGCAGTTCTGCTTTTAACCCTTACTTTGCTACTCTGCATCAAACAACTAGAACTTAGAACTACAGACTACTTAATCTCTTGGCACGCACCAAGTGCATCCCTTTTATGAGAATTTACTAACTTGATTTATTAGCTGTCGTTGCCTTTCACGGTCATTAGGCTAAATCAGTTCCATGAGAGCTATTGCTATTAAGTGGCCACCCGTATATATGGACCTTGGTGAAGTATCTCTGCATATATCTGGATCCATGATGTACAAAGATACAGAAAGACTTTCTCCAAGCAAATGCGTTATGGGGCATTGAAGCAAGGTGTTGGGAAATAGGGAAATCATTTCCAAAGAGTATCGATACTATTGTACCTATACAGAACAGGAAGAGCCTCAATTTTTTTTGTCTTAAATCTTTGCTTTCTATTGACATTCAAAATCCTTCTTCCCTACCGATACTTTAATTTAAAATCACGACTGCAGTCTTCTTAAAAAATAGAAGATGCAGAATTTTTTCTATTCACATTATAGACAGAAAGAAAGTAGAAGGATGGATAATAATGCCGGGTATAGCAGTATTCTGTCCTATAGGTCAATATGGGTAACTTCCCTTGGACTTGAACCTTACACTGGCATGGTGTATTTGATCACTATATAGAGCCACAAAAGGGTGACCCTGGACAATCTGTGCTATGCGCCAATGGAGAGAGCAAGTTCTAACGGTGGTTTAGTGCCAGGGTGGATCAAGTGCTGGTTCTAAATGGAATACCCACAAACTGCCACTTTTATTGTTGTTGAGTTGTGTAGAGAAAGCACGGACTAACAGGTCGTCCAGTAGCATTCGAAAAAGGAAAGACCTTTCACTGCCACTGAAAGAATTACATTTTTTTAAAAATCAAGACAAATCATTCCTTTCTGTTCCATATTATCCATACAACCCAAATTAGCATGAATGAGGGACAAACATCAGCAACAGTGGGAAATGGCTGCTGGAATTACTTGCTGACCAAATGGCCCATATAAACAGGACGAGCAAACCACATCCACTGTACCTGGTAACAAAGACAGCAGCATCCACAGGAGGGGTATCATCTCTTGCACCAGGAACCTGATTATTGCCAAGATACTTTGCTCCACCATACTCTTCATTTTGCCAGTGACAGAAACTCTCCAAAGACCTCTCTCCATGGTGCCCAATGGACAGTTTTGCCTTTAGAAAAGAAAAAGGAATTCAAACAAACAAAGACTGGTCAAACTAGGGGATACATATATCTATATAGCATCAAATCATTAAGTGACAAACATACAGTTCCAAGTTATACTTGTGAAGGTTATATGTGCATCATCACGGCCTTAACCTGGGGCCTGAAATTCAGCACCAAAGCACTGATCTCTACCACTTCACCTAAAGAGCTAATGCCATCAGCTGGTAACAGTAGCAAGCTTCTTTGGGAGTAGTAGGCCCAAAGGGTTTATAGGATTGGGAACTGTGTTTTTGATTCCCTAACCATGTTAGGGAATCTTTATTACAGCTACTCCCCAGCCTAACTTGGGATTTTAAAGACAGACCACAGCGGCTGTATAAAAGTTTTGAAGAACTTACGGGACGGTTTCGAAGGAGGACTAGCTTGGTCACCCGAATGCTGACTTTAATTCCGAGGCTCTGGTGTTGAAACATATTGTACACCTGTCAAAACGCAACAAACAACATGCCAGAACATCAAAAAGAAAAAAAGGTAACTAGAAGCAGACGAGGAACTAACCATGACCAAAAAGATCGTCCCCCCTGCACTCAAAAAAAAATAAAAAGGTTGGCTCAATCCAAAAACAAATGTATTGCATTATTCAACAAAAATACAGAATTATAAAAGGAGCAACTGTGGTGCGATTTTAGCCCAGATCATATGGTAGATAGTAGCAGCTACAACTCTCGAACAAATAAAATGTATTTTCCCTACGGCACATAATTTGGCTTCACCACACCGAACAATTTTTCACACACCCCCTCCAGCAAGGTTTACCATCGAGGGCAGAGCCCACCCAATAAAAACAGACAAGTCCTTTTAAAAAACAAACACACACACACACCCCTCGTAGCAATATGCTCTAACAAGGGTAGCCAAGGGGAAAAGATCTGCTGGAGAATGGAGGAAAGGAAATATATTCCTAAGGAACATTAAATAGAAACTAGAGATCTCAGAAACACAAACACATGTTTAAAAATGGTAGCTAATACAGACTTTCAGCATTTAAAACGGCAGTGATATCTGAATGCAAAAATGAAATAATGGTGTGTTTTAGACTTCAGGAAATAGAATGGAAAAGCAATTTCCCTGTGTTGTTTTCATATCTTATATAAGAAAATAGTAATAAGTCAGCATATAATGACACAAGCCTCAGGAAATACAAAAATAGTGCTGGAAACTACCTTACTGCTATCTCCAGATTTCACATTCCTGCTCAGATAGTTCACCTCATTTATAGGTTAGAACACAGAACTCTAATTGATCCCAGAATTACATTCCACCCCTTTCTCTGGGTACTACTGCTTTGCCTAGACCACACCAAAAAAAAAAAAAAAAAGGTGTGAGCGGGGAAATACATTATAAAGTATTTTAAACTTTTTATAACTTTGGGACAAATGCCACACTCCCTACTCAGGCAAAAAAATCAAAACCACAGAAGAGACTTTTCTGAGTAGCGACGACAAGATCAGGCCCTGTTTGTTACCCAGATCTCATCTGGTTGTAAATGTTATTCAGGCTACCTACAGAGAGGTGGAGACTGGATCGTTTTTTCTTCCTACAGTGAAGCCACTGCATGAACTTTTTTGGGGGGATCACGTTTTCAAAACCCTAAACTTTCCCTAATCATGAAAGCATTCAAGTATGCACTTAATTTTATGCACATTCTTAAGTGCTTTCCTGAATAGGGAGGGATTTAAAATGGTGTTTAAGTCAAGTGGTTTCTCAATCCGGGCCTAGACTAGGAGCCAGCAGCTCCTGAGTTCTAATCCCCATGCAGCCCTCTACCCATGTGTAGAATTGCTGGTACGACTTACCTACCTTACAGAAGTGTTTGACAATCTCTTAGGCCTGGTCTAAATGAACACTTATTTCATGGAAAGCTGGGGAGTAAATCTACCTCGCATTAGCCTGCCGCAGACTAGCTGGCCATGGGGACCAAGGTGCCATGCACTGGCAGTTCCCTAGTGCACGCTGATCTACCCCCATTTCAAAGCACACCTGGGAACTTTCAGTGCACAGCACCAGAGTCCACAGGGAGGCTTAGTGCAAAGCTGAGTAGATTTATTTCCTAGCTTAACATGAAGTAAGTGTTCGTTTAGAGAAGCCCTTAATGTTTGAAAATGTAAAACATTCTGTTTATAGTATTAACGTCCTTATTGTTAAATAAAAAGGAACGAAGCCAGTGCTCCATCCACGGAGCGGGCAAATTTATGCCCCAATCTGGCCAACTGGCTCAGCATGGGTGGACCCTGGCACCTGCATGGAGCCCCACGTACTTCAAGGGGGCTCTTCGTGTGCAGGGGATTTGCCTGTGTGGAGCCAGTTGCCTGGGGCCTAGCAAACTATTCTGGGATTCATCAAGCTACTCTGAAACTGTGACCCCCATTCCCCTCCAAGATGTCTGGATTTTTTTTTCCAGTCAGCAATTTCAAATGTACCCTGGCTTGCCCTGAAATTACAACATGTGGATCTCTACCCTCTGTGTCACAATTAAAACAAATCATTTTGCAGTTGCTTTATCTGTATTTTTAAAATACATCTATAGATGTCCAAGTGAAAAGGTAAACGGTGCTGCATATAAAAGAGTAAGAGCATCCTCCTTCTTTCCGCCTCCAAAAAAAAAACAAAAACAAAACAAACTATCTGGCACAAATGGTCGCCCTATCTAGACACTGTCAAAGTGCCCAGCCACCAGGTTATCTCGGTTACAGAGACTTTATAATTGGATTTCCTTTCCAACTCTGCTCGCTTCCACCACCCTCAGTCTCTCTTAAGCACATAGAAAATCCATCAACGTTGGAGTCCAAAAATCAAAATTCCGAACCCCGGAGGTCCAAGTGGATTAAAAATTAAGCAAAAGTTCCAGTGTGGTCATGTTAATTCCCTCTCACTGTAATTAATGTCTTACAACGTGTGGATTTAACATACTGGAACTTGCCCAATGCCATCGCATATTATGCTAACGCGCTCTAATAACGTGGCTCGTACTTGCAAAACAAGACGAGGAGCACCTTGGCAGCAGGAAGTATTGTTTCTAACATTCCAGCACTGACAGTTTGCCTTGTTTTGTAGGCACTGTGATGTCATAGCCACTGTGTTCACACTGGTATGCTGGTTCCACTGGTATGCTGACTTCATTGCCACATCATACGTTTATTAATGGGATTATATGACGGGGTAATCTGCAACAGCAGGAGGCTGAAAACGATGACCCAGGCAGTCCCTTGCGACACTATGTTCCAATCTCCAAGTAGATAGACCGTTGCCATCAAAAGGCTGGAGAGCACTGAAGCTGGGGTCATGCATTGTAGTAAATTACTATTAATGACGTCTAAAGCACATTTCTCAAAAAAAATCCCTCCCAGTTGCCAGAGGAACAGCAATACCAAATACTCCTCATTTCAAAGGAATCCCTCTTATTGTTCCTCAGGGTTTAAACAGGGATAGTAAACTCTGCCTACTACACAGGCACTGTGATTTACAGAACTGCAGTACGCTATAGAAAACATCACATTTAAAAATGCCGATATTCTCCCATTAGATAAGTTCGAAAGTGGAGAGAGAGCACCTCCAGATGTCTTCCTCATTTGTTGTCCTTTGCCTCCTTCCATTGTTAGGAAAAGGCCATGAGCAGAAGGTGAAGTCTCGTTTATCCATAAAGGTCTTTAGCTGGGAAAGGGAGCAGTTCTAAACTGCCGACAAGTAAACTCTCTTGTCAAAAATGCTCCAACACCCGTGGGCAAGTTCACAGGAAAACTGAACTGTGACTTGGCACTGCAGGGAGAACCATCATTCACCAGTAAAAAAACAGTGCTTAAAAGAGAGCTAGGCGGTTCACACCAGACGCAGAAAGGCACAGTCCCTGACCAAAAAAGTTTACGATCTAAATCAGATCAAATCTGCATTGGGACCCCATAGGGCATTAACAGGGAGTGATTCTGGGCACTGGATATTTTCTGTCTGCCTTCTTCTGAGCAGCCTGGCAATTCCATACTTTTCACCAGCCAAATGAGTACTGGGTGGATATGTGTACCTACCAGCTACATTTTCTTTGGGAAGTTCTAGCTGTAGAAACTCAAATAAGATCTGTCCCTATACTATTAATCACACTCTGACTCTAAAAAAAAACATCAAAAGCTCAGACCTGTGGATGGCTTTCTACTTTCTTCAGTGCTCACAGAGACACAAGGTGTCTATAGCCTCCTCCAGTTCTTCAAAATGTTCTTCTGCAAAAGTCAATACAGTTCCTCTTACAACATCGTCTCTAGCCACAGCTGTCCCTGAGCCCCATAGCTGTACGTGTGGGTTTAGACATCACCTATGCCATGGCTCACATCAAAGATCCCAGTGCACCAAACTACATGAAGGACACCAACAATTCAGTTATGAGTGCTGTTATGGATGTAACTCTCAGGACATGTGATATCAGCCAGTGTATCTTGGATCTCAGAGCACTTAGTGCAAAAGTAAAACTTACGCTTTAATTTGAGGAGGCCCCTCATCTCCTTAGCCTAAGTGGAAAAGCATGGCTGCTTCAAACAAGATATCTAGCTCAGCTGAAGTTTGCCAGCATGAAGGTGAAGCGATGACGGATTTCACTGGGTGACATCACTTCAGTATCAGGACTGGAGTCAAGCACTGAAGGAGTTCTACACCATGCATGGAAACTTCCTCCACTTGCTCCTTCAGTTCAGTTTTCTAGGGTAACACGGAATGCTAGGAAGATGTTTGAATGTTGCTGGCAGACTATGATTTGCAATGAGAGTAATCTGGTGAGGAGTCTATTGAAGGACCACATATACCCAGTTACTCAGCCCAGAAGTATTACAAGTGGGTCTCAAGATGGTGAGCTGGATTATCAGGATTCAGGAGCAGCCAGAAAATATTTCACTTGGGGTTCTTTGCCTTAAGGCAACATCCTAAAATACACAGTGCACTCAGTGGACATGGCACAACCAAGTAATGTTCTGTGATGGAGACCTTGTCATTGCACTTAGGGCAACATTTGAAGCTGCTGGATTGTTTGCTGCTCCCCCAAAACTTTATTTAAAGTGCACACACTGGTTAAAAAAAAATTCTCAACAGCACTAAGAACTATGGATAGATCTATCCTCTGTAAAGAAAACCAACCCTAGCTAAAACACAGTAAGGACCTGTCCCAAATCATAGGCCAGAAGGGACCACAGCAGGAGTCAGACCTGGCCCTAAATGAGGTTGCTGTGACACGTAGTACCAATTTCCTTGGCATACTTTGGGTATCCAATCCCAGATGCTTTATGATAATGAGTTAAATATAGGTACTCCACAGTGACCAAGATGGCCTATGAGGTATCCAACATGTAGTCAACTTGGGCAAGTTAACCCATGTCCCCAAGTAAAGAATCCCATGGAATCCAAGTTTCTGTTTAAAATAAAATAATTAAAGTATCTAGGCCTTCCC